TGGTATGAATCACAAGACTGGGGTGCTGCAGTTGATGGCTATGAAGGGACAGGCAAGGGGCAGGGGGTGGGGGAGAGTGTCCTCTATGTAAAATAACAGATTGATTGCACAAAGTTGTCTTTGAAAAACAGCGATGAACAGTTGAGAGCTTGTGGGTAAAAATTAGAGGCCAAGCCAGCAAGGGAAGCTTCATGGTTGGTTTTTACTACAGGGGCACGGGATCAAGGGGAGGATGCTGCTTACTTCAGCTACGGGAAGCATCATGCTTGCAGGCTCTGATCCTGCCGGAGGACTTCAATCAACCTGGTATCTGGTGGAAAAGTGGCACAGCAAGCTGTAAGCCATGCAGGAGACTCCTGGAACTTGTTTCTGATATTTTTTTAATCCAGGTGAAAGACTGCCTAAGCAGAGGAGAAGCATTACTGGATTTGTTGCTCACTAACACAAAAGAACTAACTAGAGAGGTTAAGATTGGTGGCAGCCTGAGCTGCAGCCTGGGCCCAGGGCCATCACAAACTTGAGGGATGTGGGTCAGACAAAACATAAAGTCAAGACCCTGAATTTTAGTAGAGCAAACTTTCAGTTTTGTAACAAACTAGTGGATGGGACCCATAGGAGACTGCCCTCTGGGATAAAGGAGCAGAATAGAGCTGGCAGCTATTTAAGGACATTTTTCTTAGAGAACAAGTTCTCCTGATTTCCACATGTAAGAAGGCAGGCTAGGGAGTCAGGAGACCAATATGTCTGAGTAAGGACCTTCTGGTCAAATTGAACTGCAAGAAGGAAATGCATAAGCAGTGGAAGCAGGGATGTGCACCCTGGGAAGAATATAGGGCTGCTGTCCAGGTGTGTAGGGATGGGATTAGGAAAGGTAAGGCACATCTGATGCTGGATTTGGCAACGATGTGAAGAATAATAAGCAGGGCTTCTGTGGGTACATTGAATAGAAAAGAAAGACCAACAAAAATGTACTCTTCAAGAGGTAAGACAGGAGTTCTATTGACAACTGACATGGAAAAGCATGAGGTACTTCACATTTTTTTGCCTCAGTTTTCACTGGCAATCTCTCTTGCCACATCTCTCAAGTCCCCAAACCTCACAGCAGGGACTGGGGGAACAAAGTCCTGCTTATCATAGGAAAAGATCAGGTTCGAGACCATATAAGGAACCTGAACATACACAAGTCCACGGGAACTGACAAGATTCATCCCAGGGTTGAGAGGCAATTGGCAGATGTGGTTGCCAAGCCACTCTACATAATATCTGAAAAGTAACGGCAGTCACTTTTCCCCACTAACCCCAGTGACTGGAGAAAAGAGAATATGACATACATTTAAAAAAAATAGCGTGATATTCCTTTATTGTAGGGAACAGGTAAAACGAAGGACACTGGGAACTACTGACCAATCAGCTTCACCTCAGTGCCTGGTAAGATCAAGGAGCAGACCCTTCTGGAAGCTATTTTGAAGCATATGGAAGACAGACAGGTGATAGATGAGAAGTATGGATTTCATGAATATACTGTTGGATAAAGAATTGGCTGGATGGTTGCATCCAAAGAGGTATAGTCAATGGCTCAATGTCCAAATGCAAACTAGTAATGAGTGGTGTCCCTCAAGGGTCTGTGCTGGGACCAATATTGTTTCATACCTTCATTAATGACACAATGAGTGAGACTGAGTGCACCCTCAGAAAGTCTGCGGATGACATCAAGCTTAGTGGTTCAGCTGACTTGCTAGCCAGAAGGGATGCTATCCAGAGGTACTTTTACATGCTTGAGGAGTGGGCCCATTTCATGAAGTTTAACAACACCAAGAACAATCCTGCAGAGCAAGACTTGGGCATACAGGTGCATCAAAAATTGGACATGCGATGGCAATGTGAGTTTGCAACCCAGAAAGCCACTGGTAGCATGGCCAGAAGGTCAGGGGAGCTGATTTTCTTCATCTTCTCTGATCTCATGAGTGCTGGAGTACCTGGAGTACTGCATCAAGCTCTGGGGTCCCCAGTACAAGACAGACATGGAACCTGTTAGAGCAGGTCCAGAAGGGCCATGAAAATGATCAGAGGGCTCGAACACCTTTGCTGTGAAGAAAAAGCTCATGGAGTTGGTGGTGTTACGCCTGCAGAATAGAAGGCTGTGGCAAGACCTTATTGTGGCCTTTCGATATATGAAGGGTGTTTGCCAGAAAGACAGACAAAGACTTTTTACCAGGGTCTGTAGTGACAGGATAAGGGGCAATGGTTGTAAACTGAGAGAGAGTAGATTTACATTGGTTCTAAAGAAGAAATTTTTCACTATTAAGATGGTGGGACACACTGGAATGGCATTGCCCAAAGGAGTTGTTGACGTCCTATCAGTCGAAGTTTTCAAGGTCAGGTTGGACAGAGCTTTGAGCAACCTGGTGTAGTGAAAGATGTCCCTGCCCACGACAAGGGAGTTGGTCTAGATAATCTTTGAAGGTACTTTCCGACCCACACCATTCTATGATTCTATAGGGTCCCGAGTCACACAGGCTCAAAAGAAAGACCTTCACTAAGGGATTTATCCAATACCACAGAAGAAAAATGATTCCTTGCATTTCTGACTGAAGTTCCAAAAAATTTCGGTCATGTCCAGATATCTTAGTCCAGTGTGAGCCGTACATTCTACCTTCTGTACGTTAATAAATATGCTGTTTACTTGACTATTTTTTTTTCAGGGAAAAATCGGAGGCAGAAGTCATTCTGTCTCTTACTGAGTACATCATTGTACAGAGCTTTGTATCAGAAAAAAGAAAAAGATCTTTTTTCTTGATGATAATATTTGAAATAAGGTATGAACTATTTTTTTAGTAAAGTTGCCCATTAAAAGAAAGGTATTAAAGGGCACTTGCAAATTTTTTTTCTTATTTCTCTCCTCCACCTGATAACATTTGCAATATCTCTTTGCACTTCTTCCTTTGCTAAGCCTAAAACCAACTGTCTATGATTGTCAAAAACAAAATTGAAAGGTCAAGATGTGTAGTCAAAATTTTGGAGGACCAGAAAAATGAGCTTTTAGGAAAGCATATAGACTGCTCCAGGACTGTGCTGCTACATCAGGTGTTTGAAGAAGGATAGAGGCCTAGGCTAAGCCCAGGAAAATGTATGTGCAAAGGATTAAAAGAAATTAGAGGTAAAGCTACTAGTGCACCAACTCTGATATGAGTGAATAGAATGGAGTAAGATACAGTATTTCAAGAAAGTACATATTCGACGGAGCTAATCCCTGGAAATTTCTGCTTGATGTGTCCTTTCCAATTGCCTCACTTCTATGACAATGTAGTTCACAACCCACAAGCCACAGTCAGGTCACCAGGTGAAAGCATCAGTACAGATGCTGGCTCCAAATGCACATGATCTGTTCTTATACTCTCATATATGATGTTATTTTGCTGTTTGTCCTCTCTAGACAAAAGCCCCTCTGAAATGCTGCCACATCTTTAGGCAGTTTCTCACACTTTAGGTGCATCCTAGTCATGGTAAACCAGCACCACTGACAAGCTCTTAAAACCAGTCCCCACATCACCAAAACGCAAGACGGTCTGTGATATTATATTTTTGAAAGAAAAAGTGAAAGAAGCCAAATGACTGCATTTTCAATCATAGGAAATAATCACCAGGGTCTCCTTTTCCACATTGTACTACGTATTTTTGACCATCACACTCTGCCATCCAATTCATCCCAAGAAAAAAGCAATTTATGTATATTCAGTTTATCCCACATCACAGATCTCGTGGGTTGGAGACAGCCATGCCCTAGTTTGTCTCAGCAGTTCTGAGGACATAATTATTTGATTAAGTCCCTGGATTTACATATTTTATTAAAGAAATGCCTGCAGCCTTACCTCTGTTTTTCATAAAGAAAATATGCACGCCATATTTTACTTTTTTTTTTTGCACAACTGCTGATTCTGTCTGACTAAATACCTGAAGTACACTGTAAAAGTAAGCACAAAAATAAACACTATCTTAAATTAAGACCATGCAAAAGAATGTGTTTACCTATTGTGCTTAATCAAAAGAAGTATTTTGAAGGAAAAAAAGGGAATATAGTTCATCAAAATATTAATACAAAGAGGCAGAAAAATGAGGGAAAAAGTGAAAGAAGTTCTGTGTGTTCTCATAATGTGTTACAGGTACCTGCTGATTTAAGACAGCTGTGTTTCACATCACCATTTCTGGTGATAAGTGTCCTTCTTTTACTCTTTATTAGTTCTGAGTAGAGCTAAGTAGGGCACTATATCCAAAGGTTTCATTATTTTTAAGAGATGAAGCCTTGTTACGGAAAACAACTCATAACGCAGATACAGAGCTGAGTGTCTACTTTGTGTTACTTGCTCCTTTTCAAAGCTGATTTACGCTAAGAAAGTGTTTCAAGATCACCTACATTTTGCGCTACCTTAATGAAAAACCGCCTCAGGAGCATGAATCCGCTGCCGCTGTAACAGTGCTGTCAGAAGTGAAGTTTTATTTCAAAATGAAAATTAAAAATCTCACCGTCCAGCTCGGCGTTCAATCCCAAAACTGGGGGATTATTGGCTCGCCTGAAATTCATTCTAACTCTCAGCCCAAAGAAACGCCGAAAGACAAAAAAATGTTCTGTCCCCAGCAAGAATGCTGAGAAATGGGGTGCCGCGGTCACAATTTTTTTACGAAAAACACATTTTTTTGAGAAGGAAGAAACACAAGCCGAGCGGCGGAACGCGGCGGGGCGGGGCGGGCTCTGCAGCGA